CTCTATGAATACAAATTAGTTAGACATAAATCAGTTAAATAACGAAAATTAGGTAGCTATTTACTTGTGACACTCAGTGTATATAATCCAAACTTGTTTCTGCGTAGGTAATGATCCAATCACAACTTTAAAAATAGTAACTTTTTAAAGCTCGACAGTTATGAAATTTTTCCTTTCAAGTACAAAGTGCCATCTGAAAGTCATATGACTATTTTGAAATAAGTCTTCAAGCACACTAGTAATTTCCTAGGTCAAAGATGAAAAATATCGAAACTTCTAACATAGTCGTTCTACTCTGTTTGTCAGTATTGCTGTGTCATTATCCAATAGTTTCACCAATGTTATTTTGATTCTTCGACGATATGTTTTGCGCAAGCATATAAAACTGTTATAAATGTATTTAAAAAAGTAGGTACACTTCTTCTTTATGAACATCTAGTGTCATAAAATGGTGTTCTTGTTTTAAAGATTGAATTGTACACATCTTTATAATCCAAAACTTCTGGCTGGAAGTTCTGATAAACTTTATTTTATATATCAGTTTATATCCATATTCTCCCTAAATTACCTATGTGTTTAAGAAGATTCTGAAACAATTTTCGTTTGTTTTCGAATATCCACGCAAAACTACTTTATAGTTATCCGAGTTAGCCGTCCCTAGTTTTGAAATGACACGTTAGTGGGGAAGCAACTAGTAAACAGCACCCACCGCCATCTCTTGTCTGAACAAACGAACGAAAACATGGCAGTAATTTCGGTTTAAAGCTGTTTGATCCTAAACCGAAAGTTTAGGGCCAAATACAACCGGGGGTTTTCGGAAAATTCCTTTCCTTTCACCCCGCTCATGATTTTGAACAGAAAAGAGATGGTTTGACTACAAAGAAAAAAGCGGACAGAAAGAAAAGTAAGGACGGTTGGAACAGAACCAACGGCCGGCCGATATAGGACTTATGGTCCTTCAAGACGGCGGGGGATCTATAGATCCAATGGCTAGAATTTGGTGTGTGTGTGAGGGGTGGGGTGGGGGGGGGGAAACCCCGAGAAAACCCTAGCTGGCAGATTTGACGACACTTTTATAACGTGCCCACGGCCCCAAAGACAGATTTTATTTTCACTAATGAAATGTAAGGCAAGTTTAACGGCCCGATCCAAACAAATCCTTGATGCTTCGTCAGCTCGGCTTAACACTAATAACGTGCAGACAGGCTATTTTACGAAAAATACCAAATTGGATATGTCATACATGCTTGAAAAACGCAAGTGATCTGCACATCTTGACGGCAAAAACCCTCCTCCCCTCAATATTCTATCTAGCCCACTTCGTCTCCCCCACCAATACCCAACATGGAAAAACGTAGCACAAACAGAAAATTAAACGATCAGAAGCTAATTCAAAACTAGTCGTTCGAACGGAGAGCATTTATTTGTTACTTTACAAGCACCATAATTAATAACTTTAAAGACTGATACCACGTCGAGAATAGCACTAAAATTGGATCATTTTTGTTTTACTGGTGTTTTCTATCAAGTTGGTAAAATAGACGATATCAATAGAAAGTATTTTTTCTTTGTTTTCAATTTCAAAACTTAACATATTACTTAGTTACTACTAACGAAACGATATCAAAAGCGCTTAAAGTTTTATTACGTATTACTTTTGATAGGAAATAATATTTCGTACGTATATATCAGTTTGTCACATTGAAGGTTCGATTTACATGTAAGTAGGCGGTACAGTATTTCAGGCCAATATTGTCGCTAGTTCTTTACCGGTTTACCTGAAAAATGTTACCTTTACACGAATGTGTAACGTTTAGTAACCATAGTTGTTGATAATATTTTAGGACTACACTGGACCGATTCCTTGTGACCATGTGCAGAAGTTTTACGTTTATAGTCAAAAGAAAGCGCCGTGAAGTATTTTACATATGTTATTATCTTTCGTTCGACGTTAAATAAAAACCTTCAATAATTGTTCATGTATCGTAACAATAAAAACAAATCCCAATATAAACTTCGAATGTGCGTTTTTAGTAGTTATGTTTTCTGGAAACAAAATTGAAAAATACTTTTTATTTCAAATTTAAAAGTCACTGCGTTATTTTATTTTATGTGAAATACATTCAAATCCATTGTCCCTGAAAACATTCTTTGTGAATTCAATCTTATTTTTAACAAGTTAATTACACCCAATTAATTAAAAGTGTAATGCAAGACTGGCTACTACAGAATAATAACGATGACGTGAAAATATCTAAAGAGCTTCTTCTACAACAGACACGTTACAATAATCAATGTTAATGTTGTTGAGATCTAATTTAGATTACTTTCCTTGTATTTGTCATTGAAAGGCTCTTTTAAAGTACGTAACCTATTTTAACTGAAACTCTTTCCTCTATAATTGATCCAACACTTCATAACTCAACGTTAAACTGAGATGTATAAAAGTATGATTTCATAAAAGAATTATATCGACTTGAGTGCATGTATTTAAGTACGACTAGATATTTATTTATTGTTCAATATAACTGATACGACTATAAAATATATTATAATATGTAATTTTCTTAAAATCACCACATACGAAATTTCTGTTGGTGAGCTATGTTTGTTTCTACGATTTTGATTAAAGTCAGAAATAGACACATCGTTTGATCAGACTTTGTTGACGAACATTTTGTCTTCCTTACATTCACAAAGAAAACATCACAGTTATCGTTACAATTATACAGTTATTGATTTTGATAGAGAGAAAAAAAAAAACTATCAAAGCTAATATTAAATAACAAACAGCATACTTTCGCAAAACCAAAATACTTGACTTTAATTCATCACATTCAATTTATGAATTTTTTATTCACTTCACAATTTCACACTACCCCCCCCCCCGAAACATTTCTACAGACGCCCATGGTTTGATTTATAGCTCTCACAATAATTACACGTAATTGTAATACTACAAAATTGGCATAATACTATAAATTGCAATTCCAAGACACATTTTGAAAGTACAAGTTCGAGTTTTTATTTTCGAAACAAGAAACTGAACAGAGTAGTAAAGTTTGGATTTCTCTACAGAAACACAAAGCTGGTAGTATAAACTGTATGAGGCCTACACAATAATAATAAAAATACATTTTTATATTGGAATTATTTGTAGCATAATATATATATATATATATAGATAGATAGATAGATAGATAGTATTAATAAACAA